AAATACATATCTAGTAATGTGGAGAGAAAGCTTGAGAATAGAGCAATGACCATGGGGTTGATTTGGTTCTAGGCTTCACATTCCTGGTTCTAGGTGGCACCATCTTACAAGCTGTAGATGCAATTCTGAAGCAAAAAGTTTTAAAAACTTTAAGACTGCAAAGTCTATGCCCTATCCTTCCTTTTCCCCAATTTTAACAGGAATCTAAATGAATGGAGGCTTTAGATTGAAATAATGAGTACAAAGCTATGTGCTTTGTTGTAAATGCTACAGAAGGCACTAGAAGGGACTGGAAGTAGAAAGCAGCAGTATAGCAGAAATGCCATTCAACTCAGAAACATCTGGAAGGACTTAGAGAAAGAAAACAGAAGAAAGGAGGACATGATTGTGAAAAAAGGAATAAAGAATTGCTGGACTTCTACTTCAATAATGATAATTTTACAGTGTTTTTAATCCATGCAACAGACTTGAAATAAACAACTACTTAAGAGAAAGTCAGTGGTCCTGATGAAAAATAAAGGTAAAGATGCCTGTGTAAATCAAACCACTCTTGAACAGAATTGTGCCCTGATCAAAGAATAAAGAAAATGTCTAGTAAGTGTTTTCATACTTGGCTTAGCCAAAGGGCATTTCACCATAAAGTATATATTTAGTCACTTCCTAGGCAATGTGTTTTTTTCCTATTTTACCTCAACTCTTAATTTAAAACGATGTAGATAATTTGCATCTGTCACTGAAAGTCAAACATTTTCTTCTTACAGAAAAACAGGTGTTCTAAGGAATTCATAAGTACAAAAATAGTCATTAGATTGATAGGAAAGACACCAAAATGACAGCTACGTTTTCTAAGTCCAGAAGCCCAAACATTGCATTTTATTGATATTTTCTGATCAACATTCTCCTTCTATAACCTGTCTACTGTGTGAGGAAACTTAAAGAAATAAAGTCCCTTTTGTTCTTCAACAGAAATCATAAATCAATGAAAGCCAATAAATAGCTATGCCAAAACTCAAGCACGTAGTGTACTAATCAAACCTTCCATATAAAAGTTTATTAACCCATAGATTCTTTCAAAAGAGAAAAGAAATTATGTGTTTTGGTAAAGATAGCATAGAAGGGAGAAAAATTAAAACAGATAATGCAACAGGGGTACAATTATAGTGAAAATACTAACAGTATCATTTACACAGCTAAAAAGAAAAGTACTTTAATCCAAATTAGCAACTTTGGGCTAAAAAAAAAAAACTTTACTTTATATCTTAAGTTCTCTGATAAGCTGTAATGGATAATAATTTCAATTCAAAAAATGTTTGAAAACCTATAATAATTCAAGCCTGAGCTACAAAAGAAGAAATCAAATTAGTTTCTTCAAAAACTAAAAAATAGCACCAAATACTTCCACAACTCAGAAAACAAAATCACGAACATGTTGGATTCCGCATCAGTTATATTATTGATCTTAAATCAAAAGGAAACATGTCATTGACAGAAAATAGTAACTTTGTAAAATAAAATAAACACTTTTTCCCTAAAGGAATGAAAAGGAAGAAATTAAATCCAGAGATACCTAACCTATCCTGCTCGAATCGCTCAAAGCAAAA